CGATTAATTGATTATTGCGACAGGCCTTCTCAAGACTTGAGACTTGACTTGGACTTGAGCTCTCAAGACTTGAGACTTGACTTGGACTTGAGCTCTCAAGAGTTGAGACTTGACTTGGACTTGCAAAAAATGACTTGTGAACATGTCTGTCTCAAAATGAAGGTTTGTTACCAAACATCCCTCAAACACTTCTCAGACAGGTTTTAATGGGCTATATGCCCAAATCCACCATTTCCTGAACTTTAGCTTGGTCCTTAGTTTTCTGTCTTTCATTACTAAACTGACTGATTAATGCAGGTACTGTAAATCTAACTTCAGTATCCATGACCTCTTGTCATTCCTTCAGTAAGGAATGACAAGAACCAAAGGAGCTGGCGGAAGTTCAGTGAGCTGTGGAGTTGGGCATACAGCCCGTGGATGCCAAACACCAACACAACCTTTGTAACATGGAAAAAGTTATATTTGATCATTCATCTAAGCATTATTTTATAATTACTTATTTCATGTTTTATACCCATCCTTATCGGAAGAATCAAAAGATTAATAACAAATGTCTAACAAAAGATAGATAATGAGAATGACAAAAAAACCCATTTGAAACAAAAGAAACATGACTTCATCATTCTTTATGAGTGAAGTAGGTAAATCATGAAATCATAAACTAAATTGATTTGGTTGGTCAACCTAGCCATTGTTCTTGTTGTTGACCTATGCTTGCATAAAAACAGTTCTAAAGGTCCTGTTTTATTGGCGGACACTTCCTTATTCTTTCCCACATTCCACTAACCTTATTTCCATGAATAATTACTAAAAAAAACACAAGCATGTGCATTCTGGATCAACTGCAGCTGTCTGACTGACATTTTAGGCAGATCTGTAAAGATAACAATGCAGTACTCCATTCCACTAAAGTTGAATGCATTTGTTCGTTTTCAAGGTCCTGCTGAGGCATTGGTCCTTTAAACCTCGAGTGTTCTTCAGTTGCTATAACGTCATTTTTGTGATGTCATCTTTGTCTTTATGAGCTTCTGAAGAAATGGTATAAATCATGTTCGGACACAGAGCATTTCTGAAGTAAAAATTCTAGTAGTAAATAAAAAAAAAATAAATGCACTTGTTACAGTTTTGACGGATGGATGGATGGATGGATGGATGGATGGATGGATGGATGGATGGATGGATGGATGGATGGATGGATGGATGGATGGCTGGATGGATGGAGTCCATCCATCCATCCATCCAGTGTCCATCCATCCATCCATCCATCCAGTGTCAAGGAATGGAGTTTATTCCTTGACACTAACTAAGTTTTGCAATTTCAATCCTTGCTGAAATAAATTTTGAACGGTTCCTCCATGAGAGCGCAGCCGAAACTCAACAGCTTTGTCATTTAGCATACTACCTGGAGAGAGAGCAGAAGGGCTGTTTCAATGTTGAAATGAGTTACACACACAGAAATACAATGTTTCACTGATCCAATGAATTACAAATTAGAAGGCTCAATTTTAACTGTATAGTGGCACAGTTTTTAGTAGTGCCAATGCCATTTTTTGGCCCTGATACGTATACTCGATACCTGGCTGTGCAGTATTGGCTGATACCGATACCATCTATTTGAAATTAATGTATGTGTTTATATATAAAGAACTGCATACTGCTTGGATCTAAAATAATTGCCATCATGGCTTTGTCAAGCTGCTGCCTACCTTTGTGAAGCAGGAAACAGACTAATACAGTGAATCCAGTAGAACTTTTTATTGCCGACCTGGAATGGGTGACAATAGCTGAATAAACGTATGGCTTTAAAATGGTATCGGTGCCCTATTTGTCGGTACTCGCCGTTACCGATACCACCATTTTGGTGCTGGATCAGGGCCCCGCCAGATACTGGTATCGGTGCAACACTAGTTTTTAGCACTGGAGTTTATAGGTTCAAGCCATGTATGTGTGGGATATCTGTGTAAACTTTGTATGAAATCATCAATATTCGGTCAAGTGTTGTCTCTAAATTTTCCTTAGGAGTGAGTGTGTGTGTGCCTATTATCTGGGATAACCTGCAATCGACTGGTGACCCATCCAGACTGTGCCCTGTCTTTCCCCAATTGACTGGTGGAGCCTGGAATTGTGACCCTGGCAGACAAGCTGTAAAAGCTGATTGGATCAACACCCAACTATGAATTTAATTAGATGTAAACCATCGGTTTTTGAATTGAGAATATTTTGAAATGCTGCACTGTGCACCGGGGAGGTTTGTTTCTTTTTTTCACATTACATTCATGATTCATACAGAGGAATCGATGTCTTATTATTTAAGTAAGTGATGAATTTAATATATATCAAGTGTTCCTACTAATATTTATTTAAGGAGTAAATCAACTTAGGTTTAGTGGTAATTGTACTTTAGATAAAATGATAATTTAACTACCGAGGTGTAAAAAGTTAACTGAGAAAAAGAGATTCAAGATTAACTTAAATTAAATTGTTCTTTTTATTCATTTCTGAAATATATAAGGTGGATGACATACACGCTAAATTGAGTTGTTTATAATTCCCAGCAATTTCATAAAAAAAAAAAAAAAAAATAGCTTTGCATATTCTACCTAAAGCACGGACTCAAACCAAAAGAAAAATCCATCTTGCTCTTTCTAGAGTAGATACCTTTGATTGCTTGGAAGTCATAGGCCCACAAGGCACAAGACACAAGACAAGGCATAAGAAAGGATTAACTGACAAGACTAGAGAAAAAAATGCACACACTTTTCTACAATAAATAAAATTCCCAACCATGTATCTATTTTCTCCATCTCACAACTTTCCTGGTCTATCATGCTAAATGTCAATAAAATATCCTCGCTCTTGTGGTTATCATGTAACGAAAAAAAAAAAAAACAGTTGAACAAGTATGAATAGTTTTGGAAGGTGCAGCAAGCACAACGATGAATCATTTCTTGCACTTACGCAAAGATAGTTACATTTTAACTTTCATTTAGGAGAAGAAATACTACTTACTTTATATTTCTGTTAAAGTTTAGTTGAGTTAACCTATTTTATCTGCACGAAATATCTACAACACAATAGAGAATGGAAAGCATTATAATGGGGAAGGAGCTGAACCTATAAATTAAAGTTTTTTTGAAATTTGAGGCTTGGCATACTTTAGAAATGACTTTAGAAATGGCTCTTGATAAGTTGTCTCGATATTTATTGATGACCATTCTACTATACAGTGGTTAGAGGTATTTTATACTTATATGCATTAATATTTTCTCTTGTTATTTCCACAATTATCTAAGTTACCTTTAATTTCAAAGAAGTTAAATATTTTATGCTTGCAACCAAAAACAAAGTTTAAGTTATCTTCCAAGATTAAACTAAGTGGCTTTCTTAAGTAAACATATTAGGTGTATGCAAAAATGCAAACTGAGCTCAGACTTCAGGACAAACAGGTTTTTGGTTACACCTGCTTAAAGGAGGTTGATGGTGGTATAAAAGGTTCAGGTAGAATCTGATTTGTATTTTCGTCAGGGAGGATTATAGTCTAAGTGCTATTCATCTTACATGACTTTGAAAATGACTCTCCAAAGGCTGTTTGGGTACTTAATGATGATCAGCATGCTCTGCAATGGTAAGAATTAATGTTGCATTTATTATATGTAACCTTACAGGATGCCTAATGGCTCTCAACACATACACCACATATAAGAGTTCAATTTTTTTTGTGGATTCAAAGTTTGTCGGGAAGAATAAACTATACTGTACTGTTAACTCACTATTTTTGCTTTTAATGCTACATGACTGATCGTCACAAACTTGTACAAGTAGTGTAGAGTGAAACTTTTATGTTTACATTCTCATTTTAAATTAAAGCATTTCACTAGATGTTTTTTTCCACTTTTACTCTGTAAGCACAAATCCATACACAATGGGGAATAAATAATGTTTTTTAACCCTGATAAGTTGAAAGTAACAACTGATTGGTGGTAGTGATAACATTTAAACAAGTCAAGTCAGCAGACGTTTAGTGATCAAAAGGAATCGACAACTTGGAAATGCCATACTACCAAGTGGATGTTAAGTTAATGCCACTTTGATGAAAATTGGCTAAAAAGGTACTAGTAATCAGTTTGACATCTTATTAAATCAGCAATATGTCTGACCATCTCTATTAAATCAGGAGTTTTGGCAGTTTTTTGCTCTTGAGCATATAAATTTAAAACAAGACCAAGAGGCAAATAAGAGGCAACTTTTTTATGTCTTCAAAAATTACATTAGAATGGAAAGGTACTTATCCTCTTACTGATTAAACAGTAGTTTTTTTGTTGTTTTTTTTTTCCCTCATACCTTTATGCTTTGGATAATTAAATATTTTGTTTCATATAAATGTAGCCTGGCTTAACACAAAAAAAAAACTGCTTTGACTTTTGTGCTCCTTAATAGACGTGAATAAGTGTTAAATCTGTAATAATAATAAGTGTAAATTCTGTCTAATAAAAAAAAAGAAAAATGCATAATAAAGTCACACATACTTATGCAGGTAAGCAGTATTTCCACAGAATATGAAGGTTTTGGAGAGGCCTAGTCAAAGTACACTCTTAAACCAAGATACTGTGACATGGTCTTCGACAGGGTGTCTATGCTCAAAATATATACAGTGTGGATATTTTAGTCTATGGGTACTTATGCCACCAATGGTGACACATATTTACTTAAATCTTTTAAGAAGCAGACTTACCTGAATCTTTCTGCAAGCAGCTATGTTGGAAAATATTTCATTTAGTTTCCTTCTCTTATTTCCCACACTTGCTCATGACTAGCTTAACATGACTCTCTCTTTGGCATTTCAGGTTGTCAATCAAAGGAGCCGGGTAAGCAATATATTTAACAAGTTTTGTTCTGTTTTCTGACCTACATCACACAGAAAGATAAGTCAAGATTGATTCCAGAAATGGTTGGGCAAATGTATGTTTTCCTTTTCTAATCTATTAAATAGGAAATTTAGGTATTGTCATCAGGTAATGTAATTTATTTATACTTTTTATCATCATTGCAAAAATAGGAACAATTCAAAACAGCTTTTAAATGAAATAAAAAAGTACAATAAATTCAGTGGTAAAATATCACAAACTAATAATTGAGTACCAAACTATGGAGGATTTTTCCTTCTAAAATCAATAGCAAACATTTTCTATGTTGAGAGCAGGTCTCCACTACTACCATTTAAAACTTGTAATGCTTGCAATAAGAACTTTAAATTTGCTTTCTTTTTAATTTATTGTCTTCTCCATCAAATCTTCCTTTTTGCTCTCAGATCTAATGCTTCTTGCACAGATATTTTCTTCTCTAACATATTTCCTTCTACTGGAATGCAAGCCATTCCCTGTTCGAGTCAGAGGTACGCTCGTAAACCCATGGGCTGTGTTTGTCGATTTTCTTCATTCTCTCTTGCACTGGAGTTAGATCATTGCCTAACAGCCTTTCCAGCCAGTAGAACAACTGCTTTGGGTATTCTCTTCTTTGATGGAGAAGTGAATATATTTTCGGGAAAGCAGAAGTGCAAATATAAGTTTTGAGTGCAAGTAGAGGAAGTCCCGCTCTCAAGGTGCTCTTGGTTATGGCATAAAAAAATCTGCATAACAAACTGCTACTGCTCTGTTGTTTATAAATAACAGTATAAATGAAAATAATACACCTTATAAGATAATTGTCTATCAAACACCTTATAAGATAACATTGGCCACAAAGAAAAGCCTGGATCAAAGTGAAATTGAAAACTCAAAAAGAAAACTTAAAAGAACCAAAACCATGACAGTCATAGGCTTCTTTCTAAACATGTTCCCTCTCTGGAGAAACTGGTGAACCGAGGGACTTCCAACACCAGGAGCTTTGTTTGGCTTTCCATATAAATCCATATAAATCAAGCACTCAGACTCGCTCTGTAAAATCCAGGTCTGCTATGTTGAAGTAAAACCCTCGAGCAGAAGATAATATGGAAGCACTTCTAATTCAATGATGCAGTAAAGCATTAGGAGGAAACCCTTTTCCTCTGCCACGCGAATTGCCGACAATATGTCAAACAAGCAACAGTGGCCAAAGGTGGTGACAAATTTGACGGAATTGTGTTTGGCATGAACAAACTGTTAGATCATATCATTTTATAGGTATGCACATTTGCTCTGCTTTCACTCATTCTGGCTTTTGTCCCTTGTCTGTTGCCAGTGTGTGGTAATGTAGCAGTAAAAGAGTCCCGAATCATTGGGGGTCAGGATGCCCAGCCAGGAGCCTGGCCCTGGCAGGTCTTTTTAACTATAAGTAATAGTCTCTGTGGAGGATCACTGATAAATGATCAATGGGTGCTGACAGCTGCTCACTGCATAACCAGGTAAGAGAAGTTGTTATTTTGTATCTGTCTAAGTGGTTAACTTAATGATTTATCAGGTGATTTCATGGTAACATGAAACAAAAGTCAAGATTTTAAGTCAGACTGACTGTCGGAATGTTAGAAAGGATAAACTTTTGAGCAATGCACAGTACTAAATGTCAAAGATAGTGAAGATATTATCATACTATGAATGTGAAACAGTGCTAATGTTACTGGGAATATGGATTGCATAATTAAAGTTAGTCTGAAACTACACTTCTTATCATTACCTGAGCTCAAACTCTGCTGAGACTAACACAGTGGAATTAACTGTTTTTTGAATGCATAATTTGTATTGTAAGTATGTGAAGAATTGGAATTATATAAATTTATAATTTCAGGTTCCAATCTTTGAGCATCTTTGACACCTAACTCCAAGTCACCTACCTTTCTATGTACTTATATATGTGTATCAATTGAGAAGTGTGTCTTTATTATTGAAAGTATTGTGAACAACTGACCTGAACAGTAAATGCATTCAATGGTTAAATATTCTGTATTTTTAACAGCTTTATAAACTGGCCAGGATGGCCAGATGCTTTGTTTCATTTATGACCTATAATTTTGTTTCTCTTTCATACGTATACATATTACAACCAAGCGAGTACATAGGCATTTTCATGGGTGTCTGTTATAACATGGTTTGTAAGATAAGCATTCATCCTACTCTATTGCTCTATTGACACCTAAATATTTGATTCTTTACTCAAAGAGATGACCTCAACCAAACAGAAGTCCAGCTTGGTGTTACAAGACTAAATGCTTCCAGCCCCAACAAAGTGACTCGAAAACTGTCTGAAATAATCTGCCATCCTGAATACCAGATTGATACATTTGAAAATGACATCTGTCTCTTGAAGCTTTCGTCACCCGTTAACTTTACTAACTATATACAGCCAGTCTGCTTGGCTTCAGAAAACAGCACTTTCCATGATGGGGTTACAAGCATGGTAACAGGTTTTGGTGTTACTGGTAAGTTACAAGATATCTCTTTTCTCTAAATGTACCACTCATTGATTCAGTACAAACATCACATTGAAATTATTATTTTCTCTTAGATGCTGGAGTAATTCCCAACACCCTGCAGGAAGTAGAGGTACCAATAGTGGGAAACAACAGATGCACATGCTACTACCTGGACTATTTTTATCTTTTTCTTTCATTTGGGGACCTGGACACAAATAACTATTTGTGTGCTGGACTTAAACAAGGGGGAAAGGACGCTTGTCAGGTAACCGCCACTTTTTCATTGTAATGTTGCTTTGAAACTCAGTGACAAATTACATGTACTAATATAATGTTATTCGTTTGAAACCTCCTGTTTCATTACATCAGCTTGAGTAACAAGTAATAACAAATAAAACTCTTTATTTTCATTCTACCACATACTGAGATAAGTGTATCTAAAAGAGGACTAGTTTATGAAATACAATATACAAGATGGAAAAACTATTTTCTTTTTAATTTTAATTTTTTAAAATATATATGAGTTAATAAAACTACACATGTACGTAACTATTAAAATTGCTTCAGGTTTGTATATTCAGCAGTGAAGATCTTCAGCCTATGTCCAACTGTTTGATGTTACTAAAACAGATGCTAAACTAAAGTATTCTGGAATACGTCTGAATCCCTAATAAATCAGTCTAGCTGTACGATAAATTATTTTTCTCAGTTCTTTCCCAGAATTTCTGCAGTACCCTTGCAAAACTTCCTAAGAAAAACTAAATAAAATCCTATGTCATCTCCAGGTCCATCTCCTTTGCAATTCTGAGGGTAGTCTTCTGGTTTTCTCTTCCACAGCTAGGAGGAAAGTCTTAGAGGATACTTTAATGGGCTGAGTCCATGGGCTTACTTTGTTTAATTTGGAGAAAGTATGCCCACATTAGCCATGATTCAAACTCATATCACCAGTAAATTAACTAAATTAAACCCTGATTCCTATTTACAGATAAATAAATAGCCTGCTTACACTAAATACAGTGATTGATCACTAGGTAATGCTATAAGGCAGGAAAAAAATCTTATTGGTTAGGGCATATTCATTAATGAATTAAGGTGGGCAGCCACTATAAAAAAAATTAACTTAGTTACATTGAACTTATTTCCTTTTATCGTTCACAAAAAGCACCATTTGAAAAAAAGATTGTGGGCCTGTACCCCCTTTGACCTGATAGTAGGTTAAGTCGTAGACGAGTGGTGTCTGCTGTGCTAATACGTAGTTGTAGATGTTTTCCTACTAATTTCCAATGATGGCTCAATAACAAACCTTTGTTGAACTGCAATCATTTGAATAACCTGTTATACAGAAGAAAGTTTTAGAGAATGCTTAGACAAAAGGTAAGACCAACTAGATTTTGTAAAGTATTTCAGTAAAGTTTTACTGAAAACTTTTTTTTTTACAGCTTTAATCAGGATATTGCGAATCATAATGCTTCATTGTCTATCTGCTTAAATTAGGTATTGTAAAACCGCATAGTGTTTTCCTGCAGTGGCACAACTGAGTAAAACCATATTTGTATACTTTCGCCTGCAAGCTGAATTCTCATGTTATTTCTTAGTTTATAACATCCAACAAGCCATCTTGTACTGCAAGCTTATCACATTCCAATTTTATGGTTTAAGAAGGGACATATACAGTAGCTGTGACAAAAGATGCCAAACCCACAGTTGAACTAATATAAACGTAGCAGCACAGGCAAACATATGCACAGCTGCTGCTATCACATCTGTTTTCCCAGAATCTTTGATTTCATCGTTGAAACAGGAACGACAGTAGTGAAAAAGCATAAGTTGGACCAAACATCTACCAAGGAGCTGTTTTACCCAATCAATTCAAAAGGCTCTGCTGAAAGCCACTCTTTTCCATTAAACATTTTCATTAGAGTAATTCCAGGTAAATAATGTGAAGAACTAAACTTGAGTGCTTATGAAAAACTTGTTTGACCATAACCCAAAACGTGAGAATGAAAAAGTTTATATTGAAAAATTATATAACTCTTAACCAGCCACTAAAGGCATCCAACTTTTTTCCCTACAGGGTGATTCAGGGGGACCACTGGTTGTACAAATCCAAAATAGTTCTACGTGGGTCCAGGCAGGAGTTGTGAGTTTTGGTGAAGGCTGTGCTTTACCAAAGAGACCTGGAGTCTACGCTCGAGTGTCCCAGTACCAGAGATGGATCAGTGACACGGTCACTGGCATGGAACCAGGCTTTGTTACTTTTACCTCCACTGGCTTGGACAGCGACTTAAATTTCAACTGTGGTACTACCAGCCCTGCTACTACTGTCAGTACAACCACTGATGACAGTATTTTTGGCAGTGGAGGAACCCTAAACCAATTCTCTAACTTTATTGCTCTTTCTATTCTTGCTCTTTTTCTTCATGTTCTTGTAGGTAGTGTTCGAAGTTAATGTTTCACTGAGAAATATAAGAAAATGTAACCAATCATTAACTAGAATCCTGGAAACGATGTGTTGCTGATGAAGTTAAACAAATAATGCAACATTATGATCTTGCCAAGTACCATATTAACTTTTGGGCTGGGTTTATTTGAATTACTACTAATCAACCATAATTACTACTGGACAAATGTATTTTTTGAATATGTGTAACAAGGGATTTCTGATCAAAACAAAATAAAAAATGTAATTGCTTTTGCTCCTGTGTGATTACTTTTTTATTTAAAGGTCAGCAAATAATGACACAAAATCTGAAACCTCTAGTTGCATACAGAAAGGTATCCAAACCAGAAAAGAGAGAGTGGAGCTAAAAAAGAAAAACGTGATTTTGTTGGGAGCTGGAGAAATTCCACCTTTCTCCAGCAGAGTCCGCCGTGGA